GGGATAAACCCCACTTAATCATGGTGTATGATCCTTTTCATGTGCTGTTGGATTCTGTTTGCTAGTATTTTGTTGAGGATTTTTGCATCTATGTTCATCAGAGATATTGGCCTGTAGTTTTCTTTTTTTGTGACATCTTTGTCTGGTTTTGGTATCAGGGTGATGGTGGCCTCGTAGAATGAGTTTGGGAGTGTTCTTCCCTCTGCTATATTTTGGAAGAGTTTGAGAAGGATAGGTGTTAGCTCTCCTCTAAATGTTTGATAGAATTCACCTGTGAAGCCATTTAGTCCTGGACTTCTGTTTGTTGGAAGATTTTTCATCACAGTTTCAATTTCAGTGCTTGTGATTGGTTTGTTTATATTTCCTCTTTCTTCCTGGTTCAGTCTCAGAAGGTTGTGCTTTCCTAAGAATTTGTCTGTTTCTTCCAGGCTGTCCATTTTATTGGCGTATAGTTGCTTGTAGTAATCTCTCATGATCCTTTGTATTTCTTCAGTGTCAGTTATTACTTCTCCTTTTTCATTTCTAATTCTGTTGAGTCTTCTCCCTTTTTTTCTTGATGAGTCTGGCTAATGGTTTATCAATTTTGTTTATCTTCTCAAAGAACCACCTTTTAGTTTTATTGATCTTTGCTATTGTTTCCTTCATTTCTTTTTCATTTATCTCTGATCTGATATTTATGATTTCTTTCCTTCTGTTAACTTTGGGGTTTTTTCATTCTTCTTTCTCTAATTGCTTTAGGTGTAAGGTTAGGTTGTTTGAGATTTTTCTTGTTTCTTGAGGTAGGATTGTATTGCCATAAACTTCCCTCTTAGAACTGCTTTTACTGCATCCCATAGGTTTTGGGTCATCATGTTTTCATTGTCATTTTTTTCTAGGTATTTTTTGATTTCCCTTTGATTTCTTCAGTGATCTCTTGGTTATTTAGTAGTGTATTGTTTATCCTCCATGTGTTTGTATTTTGTACAGTTTTTTTCTTGTAATTGGTATCTAGTCTCATAGTGTTGTGGTTGGAAAAGACACTTGATACGATTTCCATTTTCTTAAATTTACCAAGGCTTGATTTGTGACCCAAGATATGATCTATCCTGGAGAACGTTCCATGAGCACTTGAGAAGAAAGTGTATTCTGTTGTTTTCGGATATAATGTCCTATAAATATAGATTAAGTCCATCTTGTTTAATGTGTCATTTAAAGCTTGTGTTTCCTTATTTATTTTCATTTTGGATGATCTGTCCATTGGTGAAAGTGGGGTGTTAGAAAGTCCCCTACTATGATTGTGTTACTGTCGATTTCCCCTTTTATGGCTGTTAGCATTTGCCTTATGTATTGAGGTGCTCCTAGGCTGGGTGCATAAATATTTACAATTGTTATATCTTCTTCTTGGGTTGATCCCTTGATCATTATGTAGTATCCTTCTTTGTCTCTTGTAATAGTCTTTAAAGTTTATATTTTCTGATATGAGAATTGCTACTCCAGCTTTCCTTTGATTTCCATTTGCATGGAGTATCTTTTTCCATCCCCTCACTTCCAGTCTGTATGTGTCCCTAGGTCTGAAGTGGGTCTCTTGTAGACAGCATATGTACAGATCTTGTTTTTGTATCCATTAAGCCAGTCTATGTCTTTTGGTTGGAGCATTTAATCCAGTTACATTTAAGGTAATTATTGATATGTATGTTCCTGTTACCATTTTCTTAATTGTTGTGGGTTTGTTTTTGTAGGTCTTTTCCTTGTCTTGTGTTTCCTGCCTAGAGAAATTCCTTTAGCATTTGCTGTAAAGCTGCTTTGGTGATGCTGAATTCTCTTAATTTTTGCTTATCTGTAAAGGTTTTAATTTCTCCATCGAATCTGAATGAGATCCTTGCTGGGTAATCTTGGTTGTAGGTTTTTCCTTTTCATCACTTTAAATATGTCCCGCCACTCCCTTCTGGCTTGCAGAGTTTCTGCTGAAAAATCAGCCATTAACATTACAGGGATTCCCTTGTATGTTATTTGTTGCTTTGCTGTTGTTCTTGCTGCTTTTAATATTTTTCTTTGTATTTTTGATAGTTTGATTAATATGTGTCTTGGCGTGTTTCTCTTTGGGTTTATCCTGTATGAGATGCTCTGTGCTTCTTGGACTTGATTGACTATTTCCTTTCCCATGTTAGGGAAGTTTTCGACTATAATCTCTTCAAATATTTTCTCAGACCCTTTCTTTTTTCTCTTCTTCTTCTGGGACCCCTGTAATTCGAATGTTGGTGCATTTAATGTTGTCCCAGAGGTCTCTGAGACTGTCCTCAATTCTTTCCATTCTTTTTTCTTTATTGTGCTCCCTGGCAGTTATTTCCACCATTTTATCTTCCAGCTCACTTATCCATTCTTTTGCTTCAGTTATTCTGCAATTGATTCCTTCTAGAGTATTTTTAATTTCAGTAATTGTGTTGTTCATCACTGTTTATTTGCTCTTTAGTTCTTCTAGATCCTTGTTAAATGTTTCTTGTATTTTCTGCATTCTTTTTCCGAGATTTTGGATCATCTTTATTATCATTACTCTGAATTCGTTTTCAGGTAGGTTGCCTATTTCATCTCCATTTATTTGGTCTTGTAGGTTTTTACCTTCCTCCTTCATCTGTAACATATTTTTTTGTTGTTTCATTTATTTTTCTTTTTTGATGGGTGGTGCTCTGTTCCTGTCTTACTGGTTGTTTGGCCTGAGACGTCCAGCACTGGAGTTTGCAGGCAGTTGGATAGAGCTAGGTCTTGGTGCTGAGATGAGGTCCTCCAGAAGGCCTCACTCCAATTGATATTCCCTGGGGTCTGAGGTTCTCTGTTAGTCCAGCGGTTTGGACTCAGAGCTCCCACCACAGGAGCTCAGGCCCGACTTCCGGCCTGGGAACCAAGATCCCACAAGCTTCATGGTGCGGTAAAAAAAAAAGAAGAAAGAAAAAAAGGTGCAGTACAAGATCAAAGAATAAAAAACAAAATAAAATTAGAAAGATAAAAAATATATTAGGAAAAATAATGAATCAACAAGGTAAAACTTCCTCTAAAAGAGGAAAAAAAAAAAAGCCTTGGCTATGGGGGCGGAGTTTAGGCAGGGGTGGAACTTAGGTAGGGGTGGGGTTTAGGGTGGGGTGGGACCTAGGCAGGTAGGGGGGCGACGTTCAAGCATGGGGCGGGGCCTCTGCTTAGGACCTGCGCAGAGGGGAGAGGCAGCACGTGGAAAGGGGGGCCTCTGGAATGTGGAGTTCCGGAGTTTGGGGGGTAGGGCCCTGAGTGAGGGTGTGTGGGTGGGGTTTAGGCCCAGCGCGTTGGATGGGGTCTCTGAGTGTAGAGGTAGGGCCCTGGGTGGGTTGTAGGGCCAGGGCTCGGGCTTTGCACGGCAGGAGGGAGGCTCCAAGGGCGGAGGATTAGGCCCAGGAGCCCAACAGGGCTCCAACTGACCACGTTCCCTTCCGTTCCTTCGCGCCCCTACCCCACCATCTCCCCCAGGGTCTCCCCCGTCGCCGCTGGACCCCTAACCATCAGTGGGTCCCACTGGGTGTAGGAACTCCTCCCCTCCCTCAGCCACCCCTCAGGGGTGCTAGTCCTGGAGGTTCAGCCTTTTTCTCCCCCTTTCCTCTCTCCCACTCCCTCAGGACCCACGTGGCTGGAGGGGTCCTCGGTGGGCAGAGGATCAGGCCCAGAATCTCAGCAGGTTCCTGGGGGCCTAAGTGGGTAGGGGAAACCTGGCCATGCTCCCTTTTGATCCTCTGCCCTCCCAATGGTTCTCCAATTTCCCTCTTTGGGCATGGGATCCCTTCCCCTCCCCCAGCCGCCCCTCAGGGGCGCCAGTCCCCTCCAGCCTCCACTTCTCCTCCCCCTTCACTCCCCCCAGGCCCCACGTCCTACCCGGTCACTGTAGGCTCCTCCCATCCCCTTAGATGTCCATGGTCGCCCACTGGTGCCCGGTAGGTGCCCTAGTTGTGAGGAGACGCGAATTCCGCGTCCTCCTAGTACACCATCTTGACTCTGCCCTCTCTGTAATACATTTTTAAACGATCTGTAATTTGTTTTAAAAGTTACAATGGATCACCTTTTCCCTCTCCTGTGAATCTTGCAATTTATGTGAGCCCCAAGTTACAACCTAGAGATGATGATCCAATAGCGGCTGCACCCAAATTCGCCCCAGCGGTCATTCTTCCTTGAACAGGAACTGTTTTGAGGGGCTTCAATTTCTAAGTTCTAGAAAGGGATGACAGTAAGTTTGATCTCACCAAGTTCAAGAGTTTGGTTACCTAGATTGCAGCGTTGGGAGGGATCCTGGGTTTATGGGAAAGGATGCCACAGTGATTAATAATGTCCATCATGGCCATGGGCATGGCGAGCGGCCAGCCGATGGCTGGGGCCATCCTGAGACCACCTCCTAGACATCCTGCAATTTACATTTATATCACACTTCATGACTTGCAAGGAGCTTCCACATCCTTAGCATCATGTCATTCTCACCACAAGCCTATGAGTTAGGTCTTTATAGATGGGAAAACTGAGGTTGTGTCCTATGTCTGAGGGGCCACAGCCAACTGACATCACCTCCACTGTTGCCTCTAAGCCCTCAGCAGCCTCCTGAAACCACTGGGGGTTCCACTGGCTCCCCTTCTTCCAGAAACAGGAAACCAAGTCATTACCCACCCATCAGGCCTTTAGTTACCTGCTTAACATAGTTTCCTCTATGACTTGCATACCCCTCTGTCTCCTAATCCAGAGAACACAGCAGCAGTGTACAACTGCTGCTAACAGCCTCACACACCCCACCTAACACGCCCTCAAAAATCCCCTCTTCCCTGGAGCAGCCTCTGCATTTGCCTTAACACATTCCAGAATCGTGACTTGCTCACACCTACTCCCTGGCCCAGCCAAAAGTCTCCTGGGAACCTCTCCACTGCCCCGACAAGCCCTCATTCCCCTGCTAGAGAGGGCTCCCAGGGGTTCATTGCCCAAGACAACTTAGCTCCCAGCGTGGAAAAATAAGCTGACTGGTCGGCTGTTGTATCTCTTTATACCACAGGAAGGAAGTGAACTGCCAGGTCAGGCGGTTCTGGACTCTCCAGTGTGCCTCCATGCAAGCACACAGCGCACAGGTAAAGCTCACCTGGGTGACCCACTCCCATGGGCAGGACCAGACGGGGCACAGGTAAGATTGGCCATAAGCAAGTCCTGGCCAATCAGCTGTGACCTGCCATCCCAGGTGTTGTGACTCAGGTTGGAACGCCCTCTTCATGCAGACATAATGAGCCGTCCTGGTTGGAGCCTTTCATGTTCACCCACGCCAGGCACTCTGCAAGGCCCACCTACCTCTTCTGGCTGCCTTCTGGGTGCCCTTCACCCCACCCTGGCCTGATTTCCCTATCCACCCCCACCTTCTCTTTGCTTCTAACTCCCAGGGTCACAGCCTCTAAGCCTCTTGGAACATGGGCTCCAAGGAGGGCACCCTAAGAGGGCAGACTCCAGCCCCACAGAGCTGGACCTGGGGCCCTGGCCAGGAAGCTGGAAGGCACATAGCCCCTCTGTCCGTTCACTTCCACAAGGCTCCATTCTGGGTTCCCCTTCTTGTCCTGGGCCTCCAGGACAGTCACCTGCTGGCCTGCCTGCAGACTCACTTCATGGCTGCTTCTGGCCACAAAGGGGTACACTGCCACCACCTGAAACACACGGGGAGTGACACAGAAATGGTCAGGGTGGGAGGACAGACAAACCTGACCTAGAGAAGCTGTTTATCCTCTTCCCTCCCACCCGACTCAGTCCCCATCGCTGAGCAGTCATTGCCTCCCAAATACATCCTTTGTCCAAAGCCATCAGCTACTTCCGCTACTCCCACTGCTAATAGCTACTATGTGGCAGGCTCTTTGCCTGGTTTTGATTTTCACAATTCTATAATTCTGTTTGCCCCATTTTTCAGATAAGGAAATTGAGACTCAGAGAAGTCAAGGAACTTATTCAAAACCACAGAGGAGTGAAGCTGGCCTGTCTGACCTCAGAAGGGGTGCTCTCAGTCCACGGCTGCCATCTCACCGAGCAGGGGATGCAGCATCCCTTCCCCACAACCCTCCTCAGATCAAAGGGTGTCATCTGCCCAGGCCAGTTTCCCAGCTTGGAGCAGAGACAGGAAGGAGGTTAGGTGACTTTGTTGAAAGGCAAAAAAAAAAAAAAAAATGGAGGAGGGGGCATTTGTTAGGCTGATATTTCACCTCCCTGGGCCTCATTCTCATCATCTGTGAAATGGAAGTAATGATATCCTTCCCTCCAGGTAATTGTGGGGATTTAATGAATGGATACCTGTGCCTGGTACATAGTAAGGGCTCAACAAATGCAGGCTGCTTTCGCTATTTTTACCATGACTTTTATTACTGTGTGCCAAGGCTCAGGAACAATCAGGGGCAAGGGGGAACGGGGATGACTCCACATGAGTCCCACTGAGCAGCCCCACGACCAAAGAGGAAGTGGCTGCTGTGTCTGGGCAGATGGACAGCTGAGCTCACCACATGAGCCCCTGGGCGGGTGTTCCGGGACACTACCCACACTGGCGGCCACTGGGATTGAGTTGGATGGCGAGGCTCTCTGGTGGGATCCCTGTGGGTTCTTTGCTGATGGGTGGGTATGTCCAACAGGAGGCAGCCCTGGTGTACCACTTCTAGCTAAGGCTCCCGGCACTGGCCTGAGGGCCTTCCCAGCATGTGCCACAGCTGTACATCACAGCTTCCGCAGGCTTCTATGCAGCCCTCCTGCAGCCCACTCCAGGCTCCCTCAGCCACCCTGGCCTGCGGCATCCCCTGGCTATTCACTGCAAGCCTCTGGGCTCCCACCCCTCAGCCTGGGTCCTTTCTGTTGTTCATCCATCACCTGTGAAGCTCCTCCTTTATAACTGTGAGTGCAGCCTCCATTTACTGAGGCTCTGAGGCTCACATATGCCAGCCAGCTAACTACCTCAATCAGCCCTCACAGCGACCCCGCTAAGCTTCTGCCCCGAAAAGCCTTCCCAACACTTTTTGTTTTGAGATATAATTCACATGCATACATTCACCCTTTCAAAGTGTACAATAAAGTAGTTTTTAACATGTTCACAAGGTTATGCCACCATCACCATTATCTAATTCCAGAACATCTTCATCATCTCAAAAAGAGACCCTAGACCACTTAGCAGTCACTTCCCATTCCCCCTGCCCCCAGCCTCTGCCAACCACTGATCTACTTTCTGTCTCTATGCAATTGTCTATCCAGGACATTTCGTATAGAGAATCATACATTACATGGCCTTCTCTACCAAGCTACATGTGGTAGCATGTGTCGGCACTTCATTCTTTCTTATGGCTGAATAATATTTGATTGTGTGGATGTGCCACATTTTGTTTATTCCTTCATCAGTTGATGGACATGGGTTGTTTCCACTTTGGGGCTGTTATGAATAATGCTGCAACGAACATGCATGTACAAGTTTCCCATGGCTTTTTTTTTTTTTTTTTATCCGGTACGCGGGCTTCTCACTGTTGTGGCCTCTCCCGTTGCGGAGCACAGGCTCCGGAGCGCAGGCTCAGCGGCCATGGCTCACGGGCCTAGCCGCTCCGCGGCATGTGGGCACGAACCCATGTCCCCTGCATCGGCAGGCGGACTCTCAACCACTGCGCCACCAGGGAAGCCCTCCTCCCATGGCTTTTAAGGGAAAGCCAACACCCTCACCAAGGCCACAGGCCCGGCTGGCTAGCCCCACCCACCTCTCCAGCCCACCGCTCTCACCGTCCCAGCCCCACTGGCTCCACTCAGTTCCTCACTCACCCTGTCCTCCCCGGTGCTGGGCCTTTGCATTCGCTGGGCATGCTTTCTGGGAAGCTCTTCCCATCCACAACCCTTTATCCAATTACTTCCTAACCACCCTTCAAATCTGAGCAAAAGCATGATTCTTCTCAGAAAGACCTTCCCTGAACCTCTCCCACACCTAAGGCTCTGGCACTTAGCACTAATAGAACTGTGATTATTTATATGATTATTTTATTAATCGCTGTTTTCCCCACCTCCCAGATAATAAATTTGAGGAAGGCAAGGGCCAAGGTTGACTTCTGCTCATCACTGCATCTCTTATCTAGCACAGTGCCTGGTGAATACTGAATAAATGAACAAATGCATGAACAAACGAATGAACGAAATAATCCCAGGTGCTCTGCTAATGGGGAGCGAGGGACTAACTCCCTGCTCTTGATGTGGCAAGGACGAGAGGCTCCTTTCTCCAGGTCCCACCCTGGCCAGGACACTGGTGTGGCCACTGACCGAGGCCCTGGCCTCACAGGGTGGTAGTCCCTCTGGACAGGAGGAAAATCAAAGCCCCACTCCAGATGGCCATGGGGATGTGAACCCACCTGCCCTCTTCCAGGCTCACCTGGGTCACTGCTAGGACAGAAGGGACAGAGGCCAAGGTGGGCTCTGGTGTCTGACGTTGGGAGTCCCTGTGAGGCCTCGCCTGCCCTCTGAGCTCCTCCTCACGGGGGACCACGTGGTACAGCTCCAGTTTCCCAGCTGGCACGTACCCTCGATGTCCTGCAGGACACACAGAACGTTATCTGGCTGTGGATCACACTGCCCATCCCTTTCAGAGGTAGAGGAAGTCACCACCATTCACAGATGTGAATATCTCCGATACAGCTTCTTCACACTAAAATGGACCTCCAAAGGTTATCTCGGAACCTCACAAACTGCCCCCCACCCCGCACCCTGCACTCAGTCTTTCTAGCTTCTGCTTGTTCATCCCAGTGACAGCGAGCTCATTCCCCACAGAGGCAGCCCACTCCATTTGGAACAGCTCTGGCAGAGATAAAAAGTTCTTCCTCGGAAAAAAAAAAAGTTCTTCCTCGGACTGGTATGAAAACTATTTTCCTGGTGCTGGCACCACTGGTCTCCTTTCCAACAAGGCCACTTCCTCACCGCAGGACCGCCTTTCCCAGGAGGCAGAAATTGCCTTTCTCTTCTCCAAGTGCCCCCAATTCTTTCTCGTGTAACAGCTACTCCAGTGGTGCTCTGGTCGCTGTCACTGTGAATGGCCATCACCTCCTGAGAGCTTGCTTGGTGCCAGGACCAGCATCTGATCACCTAGTCTTTGCATCAACTCTTGAGGTCCGTATTGTCATCTCCACTGTGTGGCTGAGCCAACCGAGCTGAGGCTCCATAACTCCTCCGGGATCATGCAGTTAGTACAGCGCAGAGCTGGGGCCCAAACCCGGTCCTCTTGACCCCAAGGACCTTGTTTTAATCCCCATTCAGCTGTTTTTCAACTTGAGTTAGGATTTTACCCTTTCATGATTCTTGCCAGATTTGTACCATCTTCTTAATTTTTTTTAATAAACTCACTTTTTAAAACTTAGTGTTGTACTATATAATAATGAATAAAATCATGGGTTTCTGTACTAGTTATATTTTTTCTAATACACATTAAAATACTGAATTAAAATAAAATGTCTGAAGGGGGAAAAACTGTCGCCAGATCCCCTCCCAATAATCCTGTGTAACCCTCATCTTGTGGGTCACATGCCCCTCTGTGGAAGACACTCTGGTGGGCCTTCTCCTCCTGGGTTCATGGTGCTCCTTGCCTCCTGCCCTGCTCCCTCCTGGGGCCCCTACATCTGAGCAGCACACCAGGGTCATGACCAGCGCAGAGGGAACAGGATAACACCTCCCTTGTTCTGGATGTCAGACTTCTGTCCACACAGTCAGGATCTAAACGTCACTTCTCTGCATATCTCCATCCCTTCTCCATTCCTTCAAAGTGATGCTGAGTTCTCTCCACACAACTCTGTCTACACAAATGATCTGTGAGGTCCCCAAGGCAGATCTTTGTCTTCCTTACACAGCACCCAGCACACAGTAGGTGCTTGATCATGGATATTGCAATGTTAGAGTGAATTTCTCTTTTTGGCATATCATGCACCACAATAAGCCGGCTGTACCCCATGCCCTCCATGTTCACCTGTGTTCATTCCCATCCTGGATTTGGACCCCTGCCCACAAGAGTGCCTATGTCTCCCCACTGGCTCCTGTTGGACAGTTTTCCCAAAGGGCGGGGAAGTGCCCATGAAGTCCCACATACCTCCAGTGTCCACCAGCCATCGGCTGCTGTTGCCTTTGGTGTCCTTGTCTTGAAGGAGGGCTACGACGTGGCCCCGAGGCAAAGTCAGGTCCAGAGTCCCAGACCCGCTGATGTTGCTTGTCACCTGGTACAGCTTTCCTGGGCCATACCTGCTCAGGAGAGCCTGCACCTGGTGTTCAGCCCCTGGAAGGAGTGGCTGGGAGAGAAAGGACAGAGACAGGCACAGGTGTTGGAGCTGGAGTGTTAAAGCTGGCGCCAATGTTGGCCCACGTGCTGACAGCTAGGAGTCCTGGGCCAAGCCCACCTCTGCTGCCCATTGGTCCATCCCAGTCGGGGCAACCGTCTCCTAATAGATGGCTGGATCAGATGAGAAACACATGCTCTTAGTATCCAAAGGCATTCCAGAAGAAACTTCTAACTTAACTTCTAAAATCCTTCTCTGGTCTAAACTTCTTGGGTTTTCTAAACTCCTAAGGCAGTTTCTGAGTCTCTCCATTACAGAACTCCAGGACTGGGGCCTCAATTCTGCCCATAGCATCAAGCTAAGCTGTCCCACAGGAAAATGCCTTACACATGTCTTTTAACCCCAATGAGCAAAACTATGAGCTTCATGTGGGCACCAGGCCTTACTCACCTGGCATCTTAAACAGCCAGCACAGGGCCAGCACATGTAGACACACGTGTGAACAAAGAGAATGTGGTTTTTTATTCCATGCGTTTTGAGTCCACAAGTATTTATTGAGCCCCCTACCATGTACAAGGCATGGTAAACCTTGTGGATGGCATAGTAGAAACAGTTTTTCCCTGATGGAAATTGCCATCTAGTTGAAGAGAATGATTCAGTGCATTATCAGAGCATCCAAAAATCTCCTGGCACTGCCTTTGTTTTTTCATTCACTGCTTCCAGCAAAAGTATCAACAAGAAGGGACTCAGGCGATTGTCCCTTTTGTAAAACAAAGAAGAAATTTAAAATGTTGGATATAGATTTATAATATATTCTCCCTCGCTAGATATATATGGATAGATATATATTCATCATAGTCTATATGATTATTTCCAGGTGGAGAGGTGCTGGGTGTAGGCAGGTAGGCAGAGGTGTCCTTCAGGGACATTTGGGCATGGACTCTGCCATTACTCCTACCTCCAATAGGTTCCTGAATCAGGATCAAGAACCAGGAGAACTCCAGGTTTCTAAACAGGCCCTCAAATGGAAGTGTAGAGACAGGGTAGCTCTTTTTCAGAATGGTGGTGTTAACAGGAGTATGGAGTAGCAAACGTTTGCCTTCCTTCTCAAGTCTCTGCCCCCACCTGTGCAGAGAACAGCAGTGCTCCCTGGAGGGACCGGGGAGGCCTGTAAAGATCTCACTGGGACTCTCCTGTCCTGGGTGGCCACCTCACTCCTCTGGGTTCTGTACGTGTAGCCAAATAAGTCAAGAATTTATAGGAGGGTGTGTGCATGTTGCAGGGGTGGGTGAGAGAAGGTGGGGAGGGTGGGGCTGGGGGGGTCTCTCCTCTCTTCCTACCAACACACCAGGACTATGATGTTCCCATTTGTTTATTTTTTCTGTATCTTCTTTTTTTTTTTTTTCTGCAATCAGCATGGATTGCTTTTCCAATAAGAAAAATGTTATTTTGTCTTAAGTAGAAAAAGATAGAAGTTTCCATGACTCATCTGAGTGGCTGCTCTCTTCTTGATTTTCTGCACCCTTCCTCTCCCCAAGCTGCAGAACCCATGCGGCAGCCCTGATGAGCCTTCTGCTGGGGCATCTCAGGGTGGGCGAGGAAGCGGGGATAGCTGTGGCCCCAGGAGTCGTCAGCCCCACTTGAAGTGCACATACACCCCTGATGGTCTTTGATGTCCTCTGTGCTCTGGCCAGGTGCAAAGGCCACCTGTATCTGTCCAGCTCTGCTGGGCTCCTTTACTGGCCCCCTGTGTCTCTGGGGCCCCTTCTCCCTTTTGGGGAATCTTGGAGCTGTCTCCTGACCCTTCACTTCACATCTCACATGTGACTAAATACGGTTTGTTTTCTCAAACCAGGTTTCATGATGCTCTGGGAGCCCATGCTCCCTTCAGCTACTTCAGTTACTTTTCAAATATACTAAAAGTAACTACACAATATTTTATATATTCTTGAAGAATTCTTCAAGTGGACTGCAAGATACCCTTTTGTTATATTTTAGAGAAAAATGCTTTACCAAAAAAAAAAAAAAAAAAAAGACTTTGGCTGGCCAAAGTTTTGTAAACCACAATGCAGCTGAGATACTGTCCTTTGCAATTAAAAATTCCACAGCAAAAAGAAATTTTAAATGACTTCTTATTCAAATTTTTTATTCATCCTGAATGCTGGTATTTGAAGCAGGTTCCATGAGAAGGTGCTGAGGAAACGGTAAATTTTGAGAAAAATTTGAAGTTCCAAGTTTCAGGCTGTAAATGCCACTTAGCCATTATGATGTCTAATTTCACCTAAGAGTAAAATGTTTGCGTTTTCCTCTTCCTGACCTGCTCTTATGCTTACTGGCCATGAACAGCATGTGTGTGTGTGTGTGTGTGTGTGTGTGTGTGTGTGTGTGTGTGTGTGCACTCTTATGCTTACTGGCCATGAAGAGCATGTGTGTGTGTGTGTGTGTGTGTGCACGCGCGTGCTCTTATGCTTACTGGCCATGAAGAGCGTGTGTGTGTGTGTGTGTGTGTGTGTGTGTGTATGAGATTCCCACCCGACCCCCACCCCCAGCTCACAGAGAAAGGAGAGGGGGAGGAACACTGGGACAAGAAAAGGGAAAGGAAATAGGGGATTGACCTCACTCCACTGGCAGGTGAAGGACTGGATAGTCTTTGCAGGGGAAGGAGGGACACTTACTTGTGTGGTGGGAGGTGGCAGCACTTTCTCGAAGTTCTCTTGAAAGGCGTGAAGCTGATGACTGGTCTGGCCCAGTGCATCCTCCACCAGCTTCCTGAAGGCTGGATCAGAGATGTGGTGGTGGGGAAGCTAGGTGGGGACAGACACTGTCATCAGAGCCCTCCTTGGGAGAGAGGGGACAGGGAGACCCTGACAGCCACACTCCAGCCCTAGATGTGTTAGGATGGCCCTTTATGTCTTGGTCAGCTGTTGTTTTGGCCTGGCTACTGCCCCACCTTCCTTTAAGGAAGCGTCCTTCTCTGGGGGTCCAGCGGTATTGCCCCTCCTGGTGCCTGACCACAGGACTGGCCGTCATGGCATCCCTTTTCCTAAGCACTGTGATCGGTCAGGGAGTAGACAGTGGAGCAGAGCAAGGCCAACTGGAAACCACCCATCAGATTTTTAAAAAAATTTTTTAATTCATTTTTTACTTTTTCATTTTAGTTTTATTTTTTACAGTAGGTCCTTGTTGGTTATCTATTTTAAATATAGCAGTGTGTACACGTCAATCCCTAACTCCCACTCCCATCAGATTTAGTACATGAAGGCTGAGAATGAGAGGGTGACTCTTAGATTCTGAGATGTAAAGGTAAACGCTTAGAGCTGTTGGGAGCCACTCTCTCCAACTTTGCAGAAAAGGCCTGCTTGACAATAAAGCCAACCCAGACAGGGAAACAGCCAGGAGATGGAGTGAAAGTCAGAGCTTCGACAACACTGACTGCAGCTAGGCAACACTGACTGCAGCTGGGCCCGAGGCTTGATCCCCTCCTTGGCCTCCCAGTTATACAGGTCTTTATGCCTGAGCTGGTTTGGAACCCGAGGAGCTCTGAATGATGGTGCATCCCGGGACCTTGGCCCTGTTGGTCATCTCCTGCATTCTCATCAGACAGCCTAGGAGTGACCAGGGCCCCACAGCTAACAGAGACATGTCCTCTCTGCTGGTCACCAAAATCACCACGCTTCATTCTAGCTCAGAGCCTTTCCCCTACCCCCAGGATGAAGACAGATTGAGGTTCTACCATGTGGGCCTTTCCCAGGCTCCACAGGACTGTCCAGGTGAATGGGCCATGCGACACACACAGGAAGCTGGCATCAATCATTGACAGGCCCTAAGATTCTGTATTACAGGATCAATCAAGAAATGTCCTCTTTCTGGGACTTCCCTGGCGGTCCAGAGTTTAAGACTCTGCTCCCAATGCAGGGGGCACGGGTTCGATCCCTGGTCAGGGAACTAAGACCCCGCATGCTACACGGCACAGCCCTACCCCACCCCCCAAAAGAAAGAAAAAGAAAAAAAGAAATGCCCTCTTTCTGCTCTTATGAAGTTGACTTCCCCTGGACAGAAAACTAGAGGGTGAGAGAAGAATGAAAAGATCATCTAATCAAATTTACCCTCTGCCTTCAGGAAAGAGCAATGCTTCTTTTTGCAGATGGTTCAGGCTTAATTCAAAAAGAGTGTCTGAGACAGAACTCTGTACTAAATGCTGTGAGGGCCAAAAAGAAGAAAAGCTCAATGAGGGGAACCGGCTTCATCCATCAGGCCAGCAGGAGGCAGGCTCTGATAAGTGCTTAGCAGAAGCACATCCTAAGGGCTGCTGGGGTACAGAGGATGGGAAGGTGGGTTCTCCCACCTGGAGGAGGGGGATTCTGAGAGCTTCATGGAGAGATTCATTCATTTGTCACATATTTGGGCAGGCCCCACCATAGGCCAGGCACTGCGAAAGGCATGGGGGCAACAGGAGGGACATTCCAGGCTGAAGAAGGAGTCTGTGCAAAGGGACCGTGGTCACACTCAGAAGTGGTGCACTGGAAGTGGAGGCTGCAGATGCAGAGGGGGACTATGGGCTGTAAAGGTAGTGATGGGGGTGGGTGGCAAATTTTAGAGGAATTTTTATGCAACAGATTGGATGGGGAAAGCTGAGCTGGGGCACATGAAGCACAGGAGACAGCATGCGGTATGAGCAGTACCGAAATTTCTCCAGAGCTTAGATCCACAGGCCATTAAGCTCTGATGTTGATATCAGAGAGAGATTTCTTTCCTATACCAACCCAATCTTCAAAATTCTAAAATCAAAGTTTGCACTTGGAGATTTGTCTAAACCTCTTTGTGACCTATTTATGCTTTCAGCAGACAGCTCCTTTTACAGGCTGTCAGGCGCTATGGTTCAGAGCCCAGGCTCTGAAGTTGAACTGCCAGGATTCAAACTGAGCTATTAGCTGTGTGCCTTTGGGCAAGCTGCTTAACCTCTGTGCCCTGGCTTCCTTTTGAAACGAGAATAATAATAATACCTATTCTGTAGGGTTATTGTGAGGATTAAGTGAAACAATATATGGAAAGTGTTCCAAACAGATGTACCATAAGGGCTCACAAGGAGGCAGCTGCTAGAAGTAGTAACAGTGGCAGGAGCACAGCTTGAGACATTTACTCCTGACTGTGTAGAAAGGACCCTGTCTTCTCTGTTACCTACTTCTTTTTGTTTTGTTTTGTTTTGTTTTGGCTGCATTTGGTCTCTGTTGCTGTGCACAGGCTTTCTCTAGTTGCGACGAGCGGGGGCTACTCTTCGCTGCAGTGTGCAGGCTTCTCATTGCGGTGGCTTCTCTTGTTGTGGAGCACGGGCTCCAAGCGCACAGGCTTCAGTAGTTGTGGCACGTGGGCTCAGCAGTTGTGGCTCACAGGCTCTAGAGCGCAGGCTCAGTAGTTGTGGCACACGGGCTTAGATGCTCCGCGGCATGTGGTATCCTCCCGGACCAGGGCTTGAACCCGTGTCCCCTGCATTGGCAGGCAGATTCTTAACGACTGCACCATCAGGGAAGTCCCGTCTGTTACCTACTTCTAATACACTCCAGGGAGTGGCCCCAAGGCCTGTATTTTCCCAGCAGAGTCTCCTGTGCTTCTGAGTCCCAGAGCCTGAGAGTGGCCTGGAGTCCCAATTCCACCCTTGCTTTCATGATCTGACTCTATTAATGGAGGGAGAACAGGCATAAGAGAGATCCAGAAGGTCCCCACAACCTCCTCCTAAGCACCTGTTGGAAGGCCCAGACCAGCCCCTGCAAACAGCTAGCTGAAGGGGCGACCAGGCCCTGCCTGGCTATACCCCACGGGCACCCCAGTCCCAGAGGCCTTACCTGGGCCAAGCTGCCCTCTGCCCTCTGCAGCACTTGCTTTGCAAGGTCCCTCTGGAGGGTCACAAATGTGCACAGGATCTGGCCCAGCCACCGCATGGCCAGCTGCTTAAACTGTGGGAGCTCAGCCACTAGCAGGGAGTTGAGTGCCTCGTACATGTGCCGGGCCGCCTCTTCCTCATAGGTCATGCTGCCCACCTCCAACAGCTTCTCTTCCACCCTCTCAAAGTCCAGTAGTTTGTCCAGACGCTTCTTGATCAGATTCTGAGGGCCGGCCAAGGCTTTGGCCAGGCTGCACAATGGCTGCCACACCAGGGCTTCCAGCCGCTGCTTCTGTGGGGAGAGGTGAACTTGGGAGTTGAGGAAGGAGGTGGCAGAGGGCGGGGCACAGGGAGAAGGGGCTTTGGATGTGGCAGGACTGGGCTCCAGTCCCACCCTCACTGACCAGCTGTGACCTCTAGCACGACATCCAACCTTTCTGGGCCTCAATGCGCCCATCTGAAAAATAGGGACAATGTATGTAACAAGCAGAGTGCCTAGCACAGAATAAGTATTCAATATATATGCCACTTCTTAATACGGTTACTGTGCACAGATGTTGAAAAATTTTGTATGGAATGGTGGTCAAAAGCATAGTTCTTGGGGCACAGATCCTTGCCATTGACCATCTGAATAACCTGGGAGGTCACCCTCTCTGAGCCTCAAGCTCTCATCTGCAGAATGGAGCTATCAATAGTATCTACCCTGTAAGCTGTGTTGTGAGGATTAAATGAGGGAAAGAATGTAGAGGTTAGCACAGTGCTTGGCAGATAACAAGGGTCAGTAAACGCTAGCTGGGGCTATTTTCATCAGGAAAATGCACTAATAATAATATCTGCCCTGCTGACTACCCAGGACTGTTATGGATGTGACAGTCGTGGAAAAGGCCTGGCTTCTAAATATTATTCTTATAGGCTCTGCCACCTGCCTAAAAAAAGAAAGGAGAAGTTCCGCTCACAAACTCAGGGAAGGCCTGGAGCTGCAGGTCTCTTGCCAGGTAACAGTACTGCACCACAGGCCCCCCAGGGATGTCCAGATCGTATTCCTGGGGCCGGAAGCGGAGGAAAGCCTAGATGGGGTCAAATGAGAGAGCCAATCATGTCCCGTCGTCACCATCTCACACCTGAATCCCCCTCCACCACAGACCGGAAGAAGTGCCCAGGCTGTCTGCACACCCTCCCTGTGTCTGCACACAGCCTATTCTATCCTTGCACAACTTAGGTGATTAGAAAGTTCCTCCTTAGACTGAGCCAACATCTTTCTCCCTATTCAGTGCTGCCTCCACTTCACACATTTACATATCTCCTTTGTGATTTTTTTTTGCCATGTCCATGTTCCTCGAGTTCTATTAATATTTTTCCTTAAACGAAATTGGGTCATTTGTAGAGACGTGGGTGGATCCAGAGACTGTCATACAGAGTGAAGTAAGTCAGAAAGAGAAAAACAAATATCGTATATTAACATATATGTGGAACCTAGAAAAATGGTACAGATGAACCAGTTTGCAGGGCAGAAACAGAGACACAGATGTAGAGAACAAACGTATGGGCACCAAGGGGGGAAAGTGGTGGGGGTGGTGGTGTGATGAATTGGGAGATTGGGATTGACATGTATACGCTAATATGTATAAAATAACTAATAAGAACCTGCTGTATAAAAAAATAAAATAAAATTCAAAAAAATATTTTTCCTTAAATCAACCTAGCATCCCTATTTAAATCAATGCATTAAAAAAAACCACCTTATGGGGAATTACCTGGTGGTTCAGTGGTTAGGACTTCGTGCTTTCACTGCCAAGGGCCTGGGTTCAATCTCTGGTCGGGAAACTAAGATCCTGCAAGCCACATGGCACGGCCAAAAAAAAAAACCACCTTATGATATTCCCATAAAGGGAAAGCCAGTAATAATTGCCATAAATAAGCATGTAAGAATAACTGCTATAAAAACAATGCTATTAAGTTCTGTCTGGGCGTGATGGCCTGATGAAGGTTTCCAGCCGGAGACTTGTTCTGCCTGTTTATTTAAGACATGTCAGAAAAAGAGGCTTTTCCTGGACTCTGAGGATTAAAAGAGAGAGTCATTTTCTCACTGTGGGATTCCATGTCAACACTGTATCCGTCGTGTAAGTCCTGCATTTACGGAAATACAGCCTTAATGCTTCCAAATATCTGTTCTACTCTGCAAAGCCAGATGTGTCTCTCATGGGCCTCTGGTTTCTCTCTTTCAGGGCCCCTCCATTCTTTCTCTCAGGGCCTTCCTCTTCTGCCTCACTGTGCCATCCAGATCTTTCCTCTGGGGGGCCCAAGATGGAGCAGGAACAAGCAGGGAACGTGCCCCACAGTGAGGAACGTAGAACTACAACCTCCCTCCTTCTACATACTTCCAATAATGCCACCCCAAATCCTATTATCCAAAGAGCCTGTTATCGTCTGACTGAGCTGTTTTGTGCAAATGGACGTGATTGAGAACAAAACCATGCAAAAGGGACAGAGTGGATGGAATGAGTCAGCATCCATGACAAGAATGAAAGGGGAATTTTGGTGAAAGGAAAGTGATGTGCTGGATGGGAATGCAAACTAGTGTCCCTGTGGGCTGAATGTGGTTTGCAGAAATATATTTTCTTGGGCCCACATAACATTTAAATTCTTAGTTAATTAGCTGCTCACATGAACACATGGTGAGATTTCACCTAAAGGTCTGAATTTCCAGTTTTCTTCTTCCTTAAAATCAGAAGAACTGGCAGCACTGGGTCCACATTCCCGCCCAGTAACAACTCCTGTGAGCCAAGGAATACCTCACCCCTTTCATTTTATCCATTCATGCATTTATTTGGTCATTCACACTCCAACTATTACTACATACTGAACTCTACCAAAAAAGTCTCATAAATAGACAATAGGCCTTATACACCTGCACACTTCAGTCAACAATATTACCTGCTTGGTCCCTTTGAGCACCTGTGTTTGTCACCCCTGCTCTCCCTCCAGAGGGCTCTGATTCCAGTGAATTCTGACCCCCCAGTGAGAACACGGCCCCGCTGAGAACTCAATGAACTCAGAAGGTGCCCCAGTCAGATGACCTGTGGGCTGAGGAGTGCTTGTGAACGGCCCCTCTTCTGGCCTCCAGCCAGCAACTGTATGACCTCTTCCATTTGGTTCCTGAAGTTGGTGTCTTTGTCAGCTTGTTCAATGGGCCCTGCATGACTCCTGCCCAGGGATCCCAGCCCCGCCCCACCCTTCCCACTATTAACCACAGGATCCTCACCTCCAAATTATCCAGGTACGCAGCCACATTGTTCTTCAGCTCAGTCACACACAGCGACACCCAATGGAAACTCTCTTCTAAGTCATCAAATTCCTTGTCTTCTGTCTGAGAGTAAAGTTATGCTTATGAGGGCCGAGAACATCCACATGGGGCCAGTGTACACCCATTTCCCAAGTCCTTACCAGGGACCACCTTTCCACAGACCCACCCCCCAGAGCCAGTTCCTCCAGCCCCAAAACTGAGTGGGACAGTTAGAGGCACTAAGTGCAGCTTGCTGGTTCTGTATTCAGACAATGGAATCAGACACAAGAGCCCGTGAGTCCTGGTTCACTTGCTTCCTGGTTGTGTGAACTTAGACAAGTGTTTTACTCTCTTTGAGCCTGTTTCCTCATCTGCAATATGGGAACAGTATGAACTTACTTCATTGCGTGGATCCATTAATGCCTGGTTCAGAGTAAGTACTCAATCCACCTGAGCTGCTACTAGTACCTATTCAAGGCTGGTTCCTTGCCAAGACCCAGACATCTCCTATCTGTATCAAGAGACCCCAGAGAAAGAGCAGCACAAGATGCAGAGGAGAAAGCCCCACCCTGGCTCTCCAGAATCAAGTGGCGGCGCCTACTCTGCCTCGTCTTGGCTATGCATGCTGGAAGTTCACTCCCTCAGCCTCAGTTTCCTCATCTCCAAAAGGAGTCTAAGACCCCGCACTGCACAGTCTTGCCCGTTGGGATGGCTGGGATACCACCCTTCCTCCTGTCCGTGCTCACCTTGGGTACGAGCCCCGCCTCCTGCTTCAGCAGCTGGCCCAGCCGGGTGGTCTTCTTGGAAAGGGTGTGCATACTGATGCGGGCCAGTCGCTCCCGGAGGCTCAGATGCTCCACCTTGGTGTACTTGGAGGCTGCACCAACAGAAGAGAAGGAGGGCACAGGAACCAGAGCTGACCCGGGAAAGCAAGAGCCCCTGACATACCTGGCAAGGCATCTCTTGGGCCCTCTTCTCAAATGTCAGAGTCACACCCATAAGAATGGTGAATCTCAGAGGAAGAGCGCAGGGCTCAGAGCCCTCACTCTGATGTGAGCACCCTGACTGAAGAGCTTCCTACCTGCTTGACTTCTTAGGCCTCAGTTTCCTCATCTGTAAATGAGGCTAGCCACCTCACAGGATTGCTAGGAGATCACATAAGATGACAGGTCTGGAGCAAATGACTTAAGCTCTCATTTTACCCAACTGTGAAATGGGGCTAACATTGCCAACCTCAGGGCTATCGTAAGGATCAAACAAGATAATGAGTGAAAAAAACATGTCATAGTTAGCCTTTAGTAAACATTAGCTAAATTATCATTACTATACGGTCTGAGTTGTGCAACTGAGTTTTTCATCTACTTGGGACACTGCTTCACTTTCCAGACCTTTCTGTTTTAACAACTTCAGAGGCAGCAACCTCCCCACTTTCTCCTCTTACCCTCACCCCTGATAAATACACAGCTCTTTGCCTCCCCAGTATTCATTTCTGCTTAGTATAGCAGACATGTGGTTTAGATAAGACTGATTCCACTTTAGTTCAAGGGGTGGGTGCTGACTGTTATAAGCCAATTCACATAATCCCCTCATCCCCTGCCACAGTGATAGGTTCAAAGAAGGGCACATAACCCAGGCTGAAGCCAATCAGTTCATGGCATTCCCCTAACCATGGCAACTGGTTCAGGGTGAGCATATGACTCAAATGAATCCTATCAGAGTGAAACTCCAATTTAGTTTTTACAGCTAAGGGGAGAAAGGGCCCATCTTATCCTGGAGAATGTGGTGTGCAGGTGTGAGTCTTAGGACAGCAATAGCCCTTTACTATTATGAGGGAGGCCAGCCTGAAAAGGAAGGTGACACATAGTAAAGGCCAGAGACAAGAGAATTGCAGGGAAATGATGCCAGCACCCTGATCAAACCCTACTTAAAGCCCACATTACTTCTGGACTTGTGGGTTACATGAGCTACTATATTCCCTTTACTGGTGAAGCCAGTTTGAGATGAGTTTTTTGTAACTAGAAGCATTCTCACTCATGTATCGCCTAAATGCCCCCAGTCCTTACCCACTTCTTTGCGCCTCTTGTACTCATTGATGTTGGTGACCACGTCCTGGAGGGCAGAGGTAGCCCTCTGAAGGACAGGGTAGGCACTGGCATCAGGGAGTGTGTTCTCCAGAATTTTCTGCAGCAGCAATGGGTATTTGGTAATCCTCTGCAAAGGAATTACCAGCAAGAAACTGAGGCCTGAGGATCCAGCTTGAGGCCTGAGGGAGAAGGCTGGTGTTAGGTAGGTCAAGTCCACCCTTGGGGGCACCAAGGGGCCTGGGCTCTAGTCCCAGCTCTGCCATTTAACTCACTGTGTGATCTCAGGCAAGTCACCCTCCTTCTGTGGTCCTCAGTTTCCTCATCTATAATCTGTGAGGTCTATATGTTAGATGGGTGCTTCTAGTTCTCACTTTACCTTTTTCTGGGCCTTGGTTCCCCATCTGTACTAAATTTAATGGTCAGTTCTCTGCCCTCAGCTTACTCAGTCTCTCAACAGCAGGCACAGCTGACTACTCCCTCTTTCTTGAAACACTTTCTTCTTTTGGCCCCAGAGACACTCTTCGTCCTGCTTCTCTCACTCCACAGGCCACTCTCTTGGCCTCCTCTGCTGGCTTCTCTCCAATGCTGGAGTGCCTGGGGCCTCCTCTCCTCCTTCTCTCTCCACTCACTCTCTTACTGACCTCATTTAGTCCTATGGCTTTAAACACATCCCAAACCCATATCTCCACTTCCTACTTCTGTCCAGAGCTCCAGACACACACGGTCAACTGCCTACTTGAAATCTCCACGTGGATATGTCTCAAGCACAACTCCATCTGTTGGACATGCACAGAATATTTCACTTAATAAAATGGTTCTGCTGCTTTAAAAAAGAAGAGCTTTTAAAATCACAGGAACTTGGGAATTCCCAGGTAGTCCACTGCCGTGGGCCCACCCAGATTTGATCCCTGGTGGGGGAACTAAGATCCCGCAAGCTGTGCAGCATGGCCCACCCCCCAAAAAAAGTTTTTTAAAATTTAAATCATAGGAAATTAATGTTTAGAGATGTATTTAAGGGTAAAACGTCGTAATTATCTGTAATTTCCTGTAAAGTATATAGCATAAAATTAGATACAGCAAACAGCAGACATTAATACTTGTTAATTTCAGGTGGTGGGTGTGTGAGTGTTCATTACATTATTCTATTTTTCTATAAGTTTGAAATTTTTCATTTAAAAAAGTAAAATATAAAACAAAACACAGGAACTGATAGTGTCAAGGTCCCTTCCAGATGCACCATTTGATGCATAGATGATTATTGCTAGTCCCCTTCCTGATGATGTCTGGAAGTTGCAGAAAGAGTGCCCAAGTCAACAGCATCTGGGACAAGGCTCCAACAGTCTTTCCTTGATCATGACCAGTAGCCCTCAGACCCACCTTCTCAGAAACCCACAAGGTTTTCAAACCACAATGTCTAAGCATGCCTCATCCACGAAGACTCACAAATGTTTCTCATGACTATTATCTGGCCTCCTCTCCACGGTACCCTTGCCTCTTGCTCTTCTTCCTATGGAAAAATCTCTAGATCAAATGTCCAGGAAAGATCAGCCATGAGGCTAGGAACAGACAGAGCAGGTGGGGGGCCCTCCATTAGTTGCAGGGGGTTGGGATGCAGGGGTGGGATTACCTGTCAGGACATGCCTATGCTGACCATCTGCTCTCACCAAGGGTTGCCTAGTGCTTGGCTGACTGTGGGCAGGAGAGGTGGAAACAGTCACCAGATATTTGCAAAACTCTGTCCTCTGGGCTTACTTTCCATGGGAAAGGGACAACTGTCACCTTACAAATCAGAGGTGACAGAGGGGAGGGGGGGTCTTCAAAGAGATGATTACATCTCTTCTCCACAACCATCAAGGAGTAACTACAGAATTACAGCTGCCTCTTAATTTACAGCCTTTCTAAGATAAGTTGAAGAAAACTCTTTATGCCGCCTCTCAGATAGGCAACAAAAATTGAAAGGCTCACCCAGAGTTGGGTGAGTATGGGGAAACCAGCCCTCTTACATTCTCTTGGTGGGAGTATCAGTTGGTGGGATCTTTTTATTTTATTTTATTTTTTAATTTTATTTATTCATTTTTGACTGCGTTGGGTCTTTGTTGCTGCACACGGGCTTTCTCTAGTTGCAGCAAGCGGGGGCTACTCTTCGTTGTAGTGCACAGGCTTCTCATTGCGGTGGCTTCTCTTGTTGCGGAGCACAGGCTCTAGGCACGCAGGCTCTAGAGTGCAGGCTCAGTAGTTACGGCGCACGGGCTTAGTTGCTCTGCGACACGTGGGATCTTCCCAGACCAGGGCTCGAACCTGTGTCCCCTGCATTGACAGGTGGATTCTTAACCACTGTGCCACCAGGGGAATCTCTGGTGGGATCTTTTTAGAGAGCAGTTTGGCAATTTGTGAAATGTACAAACCCTTTATTCCCTCAATCCTACTATAGAAATCTACCCAGAAATATCAACTCAAGGACTTCCCTGGTGGCACAGTGGTTAAGAATCCGCCTGCCAATGCAGGGGACACAGGTTCGAGCCCTGGTCTGGGAAGATCCCACACGTCACGGAGCAACTAAGCCCATGCGCAACAACTGCTGAGCCTGTGCTCTAGAGCCTGCGAGCCACAACTACTGAGCCCTCACACCACAACTACTGAAGTCCGTGCACCTAGAGCCCGTGCTCCGCAACAAGAGAAGCCACTGCACTGAGTAGCCCACGCACCGCAAGGAAGAGCAGCCCCCGCTCACTGCAACTAGAGAAAGCCCACGTACAGCAACAAAGGCCCAACACAGCCAAAAATAAAATATAAAAAAAAGAAATATCAACTCAAGTGAGCATGGATAAAGTAGAAGTTATTCAGCAACTCTATTTATGACAGTAAAATTTCGGAAACAATCCAAATATACACCAATAGGGAATGGTTAAGTAGACCACAGACTATGAGCTACCCTGGGAAGGAACTCTATGCAGTCATTAAAAAGAACATGGTAGAGCAGTTCATATTGTCCTGAAAAGATATTTATTCATGGCCATGATTAAGTGAAAAAGCAAGTTCTAGAAAAGCATGTAGAGTAGGAGCCCCTTAAAAAATTCATTCATTCATTCACTCATCCTATCTATCTATCCATCCATCTATCCATCCATCCAACAGCTAGATGTTCCCATGGAAAGTCTATTTCCTGTCTGTCTGTCTGTCTGTAAATATACAGAATAGAGTTCGGATGGAAAATGTTTACTAGGGGGAGGGATGGGGAAACGGGAGACCAAAGGGGAATGGACTTTTTACTTTATATACCTGTGTATTGTTTGAAATTTCTTTTTTCAATAACCACATGTTACTTTTAAATTTAAAACAAATTAAAAATGCCAGTAAAGGAAAACATGTCATCTACCTTTTCCAAACACTCTGCCTCAGTTGTAGAACTGCAGGTGCTTTGTGCTGGACTGATCCACCTCTGTAAGCAGCCTCCTCTCCCTGAAAACTATGCCCCTAGAACGGTCTCCCTAAGGCAGAGCTTCCTGCCGGCTACAAGGGCAAGCCTCGAGTCCCTTGGCCCCCAGGTAGGAAGTGCTGCCTTAAAAGACAGGATAAACTGGGAGTTCCCTGGTGGCCTAGTGGTTAGGATTCTGGGCTTTCACTGCCATGGCCCAGGTTCAATCCCTGGTCAGGGAACTGAGATTCCCACAAGCTGTGCAAAGACTCCACGCTTCCACTGCAGGGGGCGAGCGTTCCATCCCTGGTCAGGAAAGTTCCACATGCCACACGGTGAGGCCAAAAACAAAGTGGGGGGCGGGGGGAAAGAGAGACAGGATAAACTAGACACCCCACCCACTCACCCATCCAAATAAAAAGTGGGAGGTGGCATATATTTTAGAATCACAAAGATCTAATTAGATGGTACCATCCATCTTACCTGGATGAGAAAGAACCATTTATGGCTGGTGTGATTCTAGTTGGCCGAACTCCAGAAGAGTCCCATGATCGTCAGCACAAGAAAGGCAGGATTATTGTTTCAAGAGGGAAGGGATCAAAAGTTCTAGAGCAGCATGTATAGCAGGAGTCCCTCAAAAATTCATTCTTTCTACCTATCTATCTATCTATCTATCCATCCATCCATCCATCCATCCAGTGTCTACACTTTCCCATGGGAAGTCTATTTTCTGTCTGCCTGTAAATCTACAGAATAAAATTTGGATGACAGAAAGAATGTCATTCCTGCTGGAACATTAGACCAGAGCATTTTGTTGAGGGCATTTTTGAAACTTGTAGGCTCTGGTGTGCTGCAGGCATTTAGTTGGCAGGGACCCAGGGATGCAGGCTATCCTGCAAGGACAGTCCTGCATTATGGAGAATCTTTCTACATTTCATGTGCCCCTCTTCAACATTCAGAGACTGAATGAATGCCTTGCAATGGGCTGCGATGTCAATAACTGATATTTTTGTGACACTTGGACTCCAACCTGTCACATATCTTAACACTGGGAATTACCATGACACACCTTTTATAAATAAGACCGAGGTCATTTGCAGGAACATAATCCTTCCTCATTTCCTCTGCCTCCCAGTATGTAATGTTATCCCTACTTCAGTTATGTTATTTCCTTCTTTCTCTTATCATACACAAGGAAGTCAAGTTTGTTATCATTGCTCACTGTTATTGCAGGGTACACACATTCTCTGCTCTTTTCTTTTTCTGTACTTCTCGTACACAATGGCTTCTGACTCTTCTTTGCTTAAATCCAAGCTTATTTATTATAAGTGGGTACAAGCATCTGATTGCTTCATAATATTTTCTAGTGTAGTGTTACACAAGCATTTGCACACTGAAATACATATTACTTTATTAGAAATTATTTTCCTTTTATTTCTCCTTTAATTATAGTTAAGCCATTATATTGATTTTTTTCAGTTATGTATATAGGCAGAAGAATTTTCTTTTTCAGAATATAACTCAGGATAATAAATTTATTTAATGTTTGTTATAAAAAGGGGGCGTTGGGACCAACAGAGCTGAGAACCACAGTGTGGTCTCAGTGAAGCATAATCCTTGCCCAGCCAAGGTAACCACAATTGCTGGGAATTTTGGCGTGTTACTTGCATGCAGTGAGTCTATGTCCTCATGAGCTGTTGTTATTACACCCACTCCACATGTAGGGAAACAAGGTTCTGAGACACGAAATGGCTCTGCCAAGGTGAATAAGGGGCAGAGCCCGATCCGCTGCCAGGCAGCTTGGCGTCAAAGCCCATGAGAAAAGCCTGGACTTGCCTGGCTGAAAAAGACCTGAGTGCAGAAGACATGACAAACAGCAGCCTCTGTGCCAACTAGGGCCCCCCACATAGTGTTTCTAACATGTCTGAACTAGATGCCAATAGTTAACACTTGGGAGACTTACATCAAAGTTTCTGGTTTCTCTTGAAAGATCAGAGGATCTGGGCACAGTGGAATCACATTTCTACATGGCAACTGAGGGAGATGGTTTATAAAAAAAGGCTGCAGTTATTTCACTCTCTGTATCTACACCCTTTGAATATGACTTTGAAGCTTCTCCCATCAAGAAGTGGGGAATACTTCTCCACCCCTTGAGTCTGGCACAGCATGCCAATTCCAAGCCGAGATCTCAAAAGGCAGAGCTGAGTCTGCTTGCATGTCCCAGATACATAAGAGAGCCCAGCCAACATCAGCAAAGCTGACGCGCAGTTGATCACAGACACATGAGGGTGTTCAGCCAGGACTAGAAAAATCATGTACTGAGCCCAGCTAAACCACTAACATGCATAAGTGTGACCTAAATAAATGTTTGCTTTAAGCATATTTTGGGGATGATTTATACTTTAAACCACTATATTTGGGTCGGTTTGTTATATAGCAAAAGCTACTTGATACAGCAACAATCAGCCGAGGCTGGGCTGCAGCTGCACTCTATACAGGGTCTCTTGGCTCTGGTTTGCCACACTCTCCACTACTCCCTTTTGTCCCACATCTGGCATCTTGCTTTCCTCATTGCTCACTCCTGTAGAAATGTGTTTAGTGACCCTTGCAAAAGCCTAAGTTTTATAAGTTCCACGAAGGGATCAAAGGAAGCAAAGGAGAAAATGAGTGTAGGTTTTTTTGAAGGCTGGGATGGGTTTAGGACATGGGTACTTCAAAAGGAGGCTTCAGGGAGTAGAGGGGTAAGGATAAGATAAGGAAGAGAAGGAGGAGAGGTAGCAGGAGGCTCCACATGAGATAATGTAAACTTCAAAGCCCTAAACCTACACTGTCTTTCTCTTGGGTATAAAGGAAATGTCTAAGTAAGATGAAATAACAATAATAACTTCTGTTCCTCCTACTCTACTCTGCTTTCCAGAGGATGACCTTCATCTATCTTCATTTGATGAGCCTGTCCTTGGGAAGATATAAGCCTTTTCAAAACAGAAAAGAAGCAGAAAAATTCACAGGCAAGGAAATACAAATACCTCTTAAATATATAGAAAGATATCAAGGGACTTCCCTGGCAGTCCAGTGGTTATGACTCCACGCTTCCAATGCAGGGAAGGGAACTGGTCAGGGAACTAGGATCCCACATGCTGTGGGGCAACTGAGCCTACGCGTCACAACTAGAAAGGCCGAGTGCCACAACAAGAGAGCCTGCGTGCCACAACTACAGAGTCCACGCACTCTGGAGCCCTCGCACCACAACTACAGAGCCCACGCGCTCTGGAGCCCACCCGCCACAACTACAGAGAAGCCCGCGCGCCGTGACGAAGAGCCCATGCACTGCAACAAAAGATCTGGCATGCCATAACTAAGACCCAACACAGCCAAAAAATAAATAAATATTAAAAAAAAGGATGATCAACTTTTTTTTTAACATCTTTATTGGAATATAATTGCTTTACAATGGTGTTAGTTTCTGCTTTATAACAAAGTGAATCAGTTATACATATACATATGTTCCCATACCTCTTCCCTCCCCTGGAGATAAATGCACAGTGAAACATTACTGAGATGCCATTTTTCACCTATCAGTGGTAAATACTCTAAAGTTTAACAACACACTGCTGGTAACGCTGTGGAGAAACACCCTCATATGCTGCTCATGGGAACATCAATTGGTATAACCTTTACAGAGGGCAATTTTGCAATATTGTCAAAATTATCAATATATACTTCCTTTGACCTAGCAATTCCACATCTGGAAATTTAACTTACAGATATACTTGCACCTCAGTAAAATAACATATGTTTGTGAATAATCACTGTAGCACTGCCTGTAATATGAAAAGAATAGAAACAAACCAAGGTTCATCAACAGAGACCAGTTAAATAAACTGCAGAACAGCCACAGAGTAGAAGAATATGTGGCCGTTCAGAGGATCATACATGTATATACTGAAATGGAAAGACCTCCAAGATATAATGTAAGTGAAAAAAAAATTACAAACTTTCATTAAAAAGATGGGGAAAATAAGAGTATATATTTGGATTTGCTTGTATAGGCAAACAGGAACTCTGCTAAGATCCATAAGTAATTTAAAAGTGGTTACCTTAACTTTGTGGGTAGGAGCAGTAATTGGGTGGATAAAAGGACAGGGTTGGAAAGGTCTTTTTACTGTGTAAATTCAGATGTTTTAAAGCTTTTGAAACATGCAACTGTTACCCGTTCAAAATTTTAATTAAAAAATCTTTTTTTCTACATATCTCTACCTGGAGCTCCCACTCACTGGTGCCAGCTCTGGGCTGCGAGGCCACCCAGAGCAGTTCTGATCCTTTTCCATGGGGCAAGACTCTAGCCATCTGTCGAGAGGCCCCCCAGGTGATACAAACCTGTTTCCTGCCACTGCTGCTCACACCACATGGTTCCCACCATCTCACTGCCCTCCCCATGGGAGTCACGAGTGCTGTTCACCAAATGTTTCTGCTTTTCCACCTCTGAACACATGGCTGGATGGCAGGCCCTGGCCTCCTGGTAGCTGGACGAAGCCATGTGATAAGTTCTGGCCCATGAATTTTGAGAAGCAACGAATATCACTTCTGGACTAACAGCATTTAGTTACCAGTGTAGGAACCCAGAGCACGTTTTTCCTTTGCCAAGTTACTGGCAATATTCCAGACAGTAGTTGCTGTCAGCTTGAGCCTCAACATGAAGAGCCCCAAGTTAACCTGCAGTGGAGCATAAGGAAGGTAGAAACCTTGTTGGTTGAAGCCACTGAAAGAGTTGGGAGTTGTTTGTCTCTGCAGCATAGCCTAGCCTAGTCTGACTGGGACACTCCTGAAGCAGCGTGAGCAGCACCAAGCAGGGATGAGACTTTAACAGCCTCTGACCTCGGGGTCCATAAGGGCCATTATACTCACAGCACTGCCTCAATGGTGTCCTGGATCTCCCGCTGCAGCCGTGGCTCCATCCGGTAGGCCTCCACCAGCAGCAAGGCCTGTTCATAGCTGGCACAGTACACTTTATAGACTTGCTCCAACTCCTCTTGGAATTCCAGGAATAAGTTGCCTGACAGTGAAAAGCAACAAGGAGTTCTCAAAAGCATGTCTGCATGTCCTCTTGCTTAGGATAGAGAGGCGGTGAGTGACACAGCTAAGCATTCCAGCTCTGGAGTGAGACTGCCAGGCTTAACCAGTGTTGTTGCCTTGGGCAAGTCACCTCATTATCCTGAGCTTCTATTTTTTTCATCTCACTTTCAAAAGGCTGCTGTAGGATTAAGTAATAGAATGATGTAGAGCTCAGACTGGTACGCTGTCTATATTTAATAAATGGTAGCTACAATTATAGCAAAAATATTGATAATTCTCATATTTGGACAGTGCTTTATAGTTTACAAAACACACTCATGTTATATCTTTACAATTACTATGTGTGGCAAGTACAACTCCAAATGCTCTGTCTATAAAGAATCCCTACAGCACAGCATGGATAGTCACAAACGTGGGCTTTGGAGTCAGAGAGAAGTAAGGCCAGATCTCCAGCCAACCCTTTCCCAGTAGCATAATTTAGGGCGAGTATTTGACCCCTCTAACCCTCCATAATTTCACCTATAGACTGGAATAAAAATAGTGCTCACCTCCAAATGTTCATTGCGAGGATTAAATCAAATAACGCATGTAAAATACCTGACACAAACTTCATTCACCAAAAATTTACCAACTGCTTATTTACTGACTATGTGCCAGGCACTCTTCTAAGTTCTGTGAACAAAACAATGACCCTGCCTCATGGAGCTGATATTCTAGTGGTGAAGACAGACAATAAATAAATATATTACATATGCCAGGTAGTGGTGAGTACCATAAATCTAAACAAAGCCAGATAAAGAGTTAGAGAGTGGTAGGAGATCTATTTAGGAAAGACCTCCATAAAGACGTGGATGTTTATCAGAGACCAAAAGAACCCAGCCCTGCAGAAATAGACACAGATGTAGAGAACAAATGTATGGACACCAAGGGGGGAAAGTGGCGGAGGGGTGGGGGGGTGGGATGAATTGGGAGATTGGGATTGATGTATACACAGTAATATGTATAAAATAGATAACTAATAAGAACCTGCTGTATAAAGAATAAATAAAATAAAATGCAAAAATTCAAAAAAAAAAAGAACCCACCCCTAGGAATGTCTGGGGGAAGAGCAGCACCAGGCTTAGGGAAGGACAAATGCAAAGACCTGAAGGCAAGTGACCACTTGCCAGGTGGGTGACACAAGAAGGCAGGTGTGGCTGGAACACAATGAGCAAGGGCACAAAGTAGAGAAAATAAACAGGAAACTGAAGTCAGATCATGTAGGGCCTTAAAGTAAGTAAGTAAGGTGTAGTAAGGTGTTTGGATTTTATTCTTATGGTGGCAGAAAGCAAATGGAGGGTTTTGAGCAGGGGTGACATGATCTGGTTTCTGTCTGAAAAGGATCATTCCCATGCTCAATTTCAGCAGCACATACATTAAAGGTAGAATAACACAGGACAGATTAGCATGGCCCCTGCACATGAATGACATGCAAATTTGTGAAGTGTTCTATATTTTAAAATCAGAAACTTATGAGAGTGATTATTTTTAAGGGGAGATAGAACGGGGTGGAAAGAACAGGGAATGGGTCAGGGAAGTAGGGATGAGAGGGGAGCAATGCTTCGCTGAATATACCTTTCTATATAGCTCAGATCTTGGAACCATGGTAATGTTTCACATACTCCCAAAATAAATATATAATTAAGACCAACCAGGATGTGGAGGGGGAACCTCAAATAGAATACAAACAATAAGGAATGAACCTAATTCTATTACAAATGAATAGCATAACCACACTGAAGGGTGTAGGAAGAAATTAACGTAACTATTTTTCACAAAGGGACAGGTTAGTAATGCTGATTATTATAATAAAAAATATTTTATGTGTCTACTAACTTCGAACAAATAAGTAAATACACTGAAGATAATGGCGGCCATTTCTACCTGTCACAGAAAGATGCTACAAATAAGAAAAGGCGAAAGGCTAGAAAGAACCCTGAGGTGCTGGACTGGAATTGGAGGTTATCAGTAGGAACTCATGGTTTTAAATATTTTAAATATATAAATACGGATGGATAGATACAGAAGGAAATGTAGATATGTGTACATGCATGTGTTGGTATATATACATATATTTCCTAACTCTGTCAGCTAAGAGGGCCTAGAAACAATGACACTCCAGGAGCAATGAGCACACCTAGATCTTAGAACCTGGTGTCTAAATACCATTCTCCAAAGGTAGGAACCAAGGCTCCTAGGAAAAAAGCTGATTCCAAGGACGAGGCAGGGAAAATACAAGATGAGCCTAGAACATCTTGTGGGGTCAGAAAGTAAGAAAGTGCTCACAAATTGTTGGAGACATACTGAAAGGACACAGGTGCCAACTTGAAAGAGTTCCCTATGGCCAAAGCTGGTAAAATTTGAGCAAGAAAATGAATATTAATAGTACTGGATTCTGACTCATGGAATAAAGTAAATATCCATGAGTTTATACTTATATAAATAGTTGAATAAAGAAATGAATGGGTGAGGGACTTCCCTGGTGGCGCAGTGGTTAATCTGCCTGCCAATGCAGGGGACACGGGTTAGATCCCTGGTCTGGGAAGATCCCACATGCCACGAAGCAACTAAGCCTGTGCACCGCAACTGCTGAGCCTGTGCTCTAGAGCCCACATGCCACAACTACTGAAGCCCGAGCGCCTAGAGCCCGTGCTCCGCAACAAGAGAAAGCCACTGCAATGAGAAGCCCACACACCGCAACAAAGAGTAGCCCCCACTCGCTGCAACTAGAGAAAGCCTGCGTGCAGCAACGAAGACCCAATGCAGCCAAAAATAAATAAATAACTAAAATTAATTTATTAAAAAAAAAAAAAAGAAATGAATGGGTGGGACGTCCCTAGCGGTCCAGGCATTAAGAATCTACCTTCCAATGCAGGGGATGCGGGTTCAATCCTTGGTTGGGGAACTAAGATCCCACATGTTGTGGGGCAACTAAGCCCGTGTGTCACAACTAGAGAGCCTGCATGCCACAACTAGAGAGAAGCCTGCCGCAACAAAGAGCCCACGCACCACAACAAAGACCCAGCATAGAAAAATAAAAAGCTGGCAAAATTTGAATAAGTTCTGTAGAGTTAATAGTATTGCACTGATGTTAATTTCCTCATTTTAATAATTGCACTATGGATATGTAAGATGTAAAAATTAGGGGAAGCTGGAAGAAGGGTATATAGGAGCTCTCTGTATTATTTTTGTAACTTTTCTATAAGTCTAAAATTATTTCAAGATAAAAAGTGTAAAAAGAACCTTGAAGACATCATGCTAAGTGAAATAAACCAGTTACAAAAATACATATACTATACGATTCCATTTATATGAGGTACCTAGAGTAGTCAAATTCAGAGACACAGAGGGTAGAATAGTGGCCACCAGGGGCTGGTCATCAGTTTAGGATGAGGAAAAAGTTCTAGACATGAACAGTGGTGATGGTGGAACAACAATGTGACTGTACTTAATGTCACTAAACTATACACTTAAAAATGGTTAAAATGGTAAATTTTAAGTTATATATATTTTACTACAACAAAAAAGAAACTTTAAATAAAATACTTTTTAAAACACTGCACGTGGACTTCCCTGGTGGAGCAATGGTTAAGAATCCGCTTGCCAGTGCAGGGGACATGGGTTCAAGCCCTGGTCTGGGAAGACCCCACTTGCCACAGAGCAACGAAGCCCGTGCGCCACTACTACTGAGCTGGCGCTCTAGAGCCTGCGAGCCACAACTACTGAGCCCGTGTGCCACAACTACTGAAGCCCACGTGCCGGGGGTCTGTGCTCGACAGCAAGAGAAGCAATGAGAAGCCCGCGCACCGCAACGAAGAGTAGTTCTCACTCGCCGCAACTAGAGAAAGCCAGCGCGCAGCAATGAAGACCCAACGCAGCCAAAAATAAATGAATGAATAAATAAATTTATTAAAAAAAACCAAAACCCTGCACGCTAATGTTATAACTGCTATATTCATAACTGCCAAAGCCTGGAAGCAACCAACTTGTCCTTCAGTAGGTGAATGGATAAATAAAACTGCACTATATCCATACAACAGAGTATGATTCAGTGATAAAAATGAAATGAGATATCAAGCCAGGAAAAGACACGGAGAAACCTTAAATGCATATTACTAGATGAAAGAAGCAACTCTGAAAAGGCTACATACTGTATGATTCCAGCAATATGACATTCTGGAAAAGGCAAAACTATGGAGACAGTAAAAAGAGCAGTGGTTTCCAGGGGTTGGGGTTGGGGGAGGGATGAACAGGCAGAGCACAGAGGATTTTTAGATAAGGGAAACTATGTATGAAACTGTAATGGTGGCGTCGTACATTATACGTTATTCTAAACCCACAGAACTGAACAACACACAGAGTGAACCCCAATGTACACTATGGACTTTAGTCAATAATAATATATCAATATTCATTTGTCAGTTATAATAAATGTACCACACTAAGGCCAGGTGTTAATAATAGGGGGAACTGTGTGGGGGGAGGGGTACATGGGAGCTTTCTGTACTTTCTACTTAATTTTCTTTTTTTTACAGATTTAATTTTATTTATTTTTGGCTGCATTGGGTCTTCACTGCTGCATGTGGGCTTTCTCTAGTTGTGGCGAGTGGGGGCTACTCTTCATTGCGGTGTGCAGGCTTCTCATTGCAGTGGCTTCTCTTGTTGCGGAGCATGGGCTCTAGGCATACAGGCTTCAGCAGTTGTGGCACACAGGCTCAGTAGTTGTGACACACGGCCTTAGTTGCTCTACGGCATGTGGGACCTTCCCAGACCAGGGATCGAACCCACGTCCCCTGCATTGGCAGGCAGATTCTTATCCACTGCGTCACCAAGGAAGTCCCTACTTATTTTTTCTTTTTGTTTTTTTTTGCTTTTGTTTTGTTTTGTTTTTTGGCTGTGCGCCTTGTGGGATTCTAGCTCCCCGACCTGGGATCAAACCTGTGCCCTGCAACGGAAGTGCAGAGTCCTAACCACTGGGAATTCCCTCTACTTAATTTTTCTGTAAATCTAAAAGTGCTCTAAAAAATAAAGTCTATTAGAGCTATACTATGCTGAGACTAAACCAGAAGTCAAAATGGAAATAGGAATAGCTATTAGATGGCTACTAAAAATACCCAGGCAAGAGTATTTGGTTGTCTATCTGGGGGAAAGTGGTGAGGGCGAAGAGAAATGTATTAGTCACAAAAGGGCAAGTAAGCCACGGACCACGGGAAGCCCAGGTGACCCTACTGCTTGCTAATGCTGTGCACTGTACCCGTGAAATACAACAGTCCCCCGCTTGAGACACATCAGATGATACCTAGACCAGCGTCGTCCAGCTCTCAGCAAAGACTCCCACAGCAAGACTCCCACCCCAGGAACGAAACCCTCTCCCCAGTGCTGGTCAAGCCAATCCTCAGAGAGAACTCTCTCAGGAGAAGCCCCCAGAACAAGGGAGAACATGACCAGGAAAGATTACCCGAAATTGCAGCTAGGGAGAATGTGTATGATAGGGAGATCAGCCAGCTGCAGAGATGATCCCACTAAGAGATAGCTTGGGCGTAGCCCTAAAACCTAGGGCAGTTCCCATATTCTTCATTACTAGGGTGATTCTGCAGGAATGCAACTAATGCCAAAGAAACCTTACCATACCAGTACATGGCCAGAGGTAGGGGCACTTCAGTAACTGAAGGGTGGAGGAAGGCAAACTCCCCTAGAGCAGAGAGCAGAGCTGTCCAACAGGCAGGAATGCTTGGGGCACCAAAGACTTATTTCCTCTCCTCTTGTCCTTCCTTAGTCACAGATTGGAAAGAAGTCACAGCAGCAAAGAGTTACTCCCAGTATCAAAACGGTACTCTACCTCTAGTTGGGAGAAATGAGAAAGGGAGGTAGGAAGGCCAAGAGCTGGGGCTGTAGTCTGAAAGAGCTGTTCAAATCATGACTCAGCCTGGTCAAGCTGTGTGACCTTAGGAAAGTTAATTAACCTCTCTGAGTCTCGGGTTTTCCTTTAGTAAAATGGGGATAATAATAATAATAATCAACAAGTAACAGTGTCATGAGAATAAAAAGGGCTACTACATGTTAGGTACCCACAGTCATGGCTGGCACAGAAATGGGTACTATTTTCATGCAGAAGGCATGAAACTGAAGCTCAGAGACATGAAGGAGCTGTGGGTGGCAGAACCTTGTGAGTCAGACTCCAAGGCCCCTGCTCTAAACCACTCAACCTGCAAGCCACGGCCACAGATGGCTACTGGGCACCTGAAATATGGAGAATCCCAACTGAGATGTGCTGTCAGTGTAAAAGACACCAGATTGCAAAGACTGTACCAAAAAAAAAGTAAAATGTATCATGAATAAGTTTTATATTGATTACATGTTGAAATATTATTTTGGATACATTGGGTTAAACGAGATATATCATTAAAATTAATTTTACCTGCTTTAGTTTTTTTAATGTAGCTACTCAAAAACTTTAAATTTGGCTCACACTAGATTTCTTTTAGACAACACTGGACTACAGCATGATGCCTTCCCATGATAGGACCCTGTGTGGGAACTCCTGTGAACATCTGCATCGTGTTTGGAATCATTTATAAGAACACAGAACCTGACTCACTTGGGAGGTTCACGCCCAAGGTCCAAAAATCTTTTAAAATGCTGGCGCTGGGACTTCCATGGTGGCACAGTGGTTAAGAATCCGCCTGCCAACGCAGGGGACACAGGTTCGAGCCCCGGTCCGTGAAGATCCCACATGCCGCAGAGCAACGCAGCCTGTGCGCCACAACTACTGAGCCTGCGCCCTAGAGCCCGTGAGCCACAACTACTGAGCCCACGTGCCACAACTACTGAAGCCCGCATGCCTAGAGCCCGTGCTGTGCAACAAGAGAAGCCACAGCAATGAGAAGCCCACGCACCGCAACGAAGAGTAGCCCCCGCTCACTGCAACTAGAGAAAGCCCGCGCGCAGAAATGAAGACCCAACGCAGCCAAATAAATAAATAAATACATTTAAAATGCCGTGGCTATGGAATTGGGAAAAGGGCCTTCCTTGCATAGCAGGGCCTGGGGGCTGAGAGGGGAATAGAGAGAACTGGTAGGAACCAGCTCAGCCTTGATTAGGCACAAAGTTGAACCTAGGAGAAGAAAAGCTATGTGGATTCTTTGCGCCTCTTTTTGGCTAACAACGAGGGGCAGAGGACGAGGAGGCTATTTTCTGTAGACTCAGTAAAAGCCAGGGAATAGGTTTGCCAAATTAGGGAAGGGGGGGATACAAGATGCTCGGTTAAATTTGAATTTCAGATAAATAATGAAGAATATTTTAGTATAAGTATGTCCCAAATGTCCCATGGGATATACTTATACTAAAACATTATTCATTGCTTATGTAAAATTCAAATATAATTGAGCATCCTGTATTTTATGTGGCAACTCCACTAGGGAAGTAGTGAAGGCAGGGAATGGAGATATTACCAGGTACGCTCAGAAGACAAAGCAGCACCTTGACTCTTTGTAGATCAAGCAGGAAGGCAGAGATGGATAAGTGGGGACCCTTAACGAGGAATTAGTGGACCCTAGAACCCATAGCAACAGAAGATGCTAACCTCAGAGTCCCCAGAACCTTGGATTGTCTTCAACCTGAGGTTATAACAATTTCCACTCAAATAAGTGGTAATTATTAACAGAAATAAGGATAAAATGATAAAAGGTAAGAATATCTACCTAGATACTTAAAAAAATCTTGTTCCTTAATTTTGCATTTAAATATTCCTCTATTTAAAAGAAATAGTCACACTTTCACATTGCTATTTTAATGAAGAATCATAATTTTAGGAGAATAGTAAACACACTATACACAGGCTTCAATCCCACTCTCTACTGCATGGAAGCTGTTCAGTGCAGTAGTTGAGAGCACTGGCTCCAGAGGCCACCTGCCGCAATGCACATCCTCCTGGCTCTGACACTAGTTGGATGACCTTAAGCAGGTTACTTCCTCTCTCTGTGCCTCAGTTTCTTCAACTGGGAAATGAGATGACAGCAACTACCGTTCAGGGTTCTTGTGAGGATTAAATGAGTTAATACATGTACATCAGAAGAGTGCTGGTCATTTAATGAACACTCAGAAAGTTGGCTTTTTCAAAATGTGTATATTTGTTATTTTTAATCCCCACCATCATCATTCATGTCTAAGAAAGGGTAGAAGATTGGGGGTGTAAAGACCAGCGTGACTTGGGTGGATGCCCCCACCTCATCCTCTTTTCTGCCTAACACCATTCACCCTTGTCCCCTGACTCCACTTGAAAACCCTTGACCACAGAAATTTTGTCAAGCAGATGCGAAGAGACTGCAGAAGACAGGGATGAGGTTTATACCCACTTGTCCCTCCTTCTTTACGTCTGGTCATCCTAACCATTTCAGAATTAGGAGTCTACCTTCATCTCTCACCTAGGTGGAGGTAAAGCCACCAGCTGGTCTCGCTACTTCCACTCTTGCTACCCTCTCACAATCCATTGTCCACAGCTACCAAGGGGATCTTTGAAAAACAAATCTCATATCACTTCCCTGCTCAAAACTGTCCAATGACTTCTCATCACATGTAGAATAAAATCCACACTACTTACCAAGACCTAGAACACCCTGCAGGATCTGGTCCTTCTCTGCCTCTGCTATCTTATCTCCTAATACTCACCCCTCACTCATTCCCCTGGAGCCACACCAGGCTTCTTTCTGCCTGTCCTTCAAAATTCCCAGGCTCACCCCTGCCTCAGGGCCTTTGCATAGCTCTTCTCTCTACTCTCCCTCCAGATCTTCTCATAGCTGGCTCCTCCCTAACAGCTCTCAGTTCAAGTGTCCTCTCCTCAGGAGGGCTTCTCTTTTCTCAAACGTTACTAAAATTGTAATTCTTTAAATTACAAATTACTACTTAAAATTCTCCTGTTTATCTGTGTGTCATCTGTCTCTCTCGCTAACTTGTTAACCCATGAGAACAGAAGATTGGACCCTCTGGTTGATGCTGTGACCCCAACACACAGCACAGTGACTGGCACACTGCAGGGGCTCAGTAAATAACTGTTGAATGAATGAATGTGAAAGAATCCCAGAAGAAAGTCTCAGCCACTCCACTACCCAATTTTGTGTCCATTAGGATGTCCTCCCTGTCTCTAGGCCTCAGTCTCTTCATCTGTAGTGATGGGGTTGGATTGCATGTTATTTGAGGGTCCTGCCAGCTCTGACATGCTATATTTCAGGGATCCCCAAAACAGCCTCTCATTGAGCTGCATTTCCCTGGAATGCTGGAGAAAATACAGCAATGATCACATGCTGAGACCAACTCCTCAGGAATCTCAGGCTGCTAACTGCCTGGTATTTTGCTTACCAATCAGCTGCACTTGTTCCTCTTCCCTGGCGGCTGTCTCCTGCAGGTCATGAAGCAATTTGCTGTTCACCTTGATGATATCATCGATGTTTGAGAACAGGACATCCAGATCTCCCTGCGGCAGCTGGAAGGAACAAAGGCACCATGGGAGGTCGCTTAGGAGTTCAGTAGAGTGACTTTTTTTGGAGGCTTTGGACAGTAGTCCAGAACAGTCACATCATTGGGGTTCCACCACTCTTGGGAAGACTGTCCCAGTGGAATGTTTGCAAGGACTTTGAAATTTTATAATTAGGTATTTTCATTACTCTACAAGAAGAGAGAGAGAGAGACGAAGTGCTCAGCATGAAAGGAAAGCTGAACTGTATTATCCTAGGTCTGCTGCCAACTATAATTTTTCTTCTCTCATTTTCCCCATCTGTCATATAAGTGTGGGAAGTTGGACTTCTTTCCAGCTCTGACATACTTGGCACCTACCACCATTACCTTGAGATATATTCTGAACTCCATTCCCTATGAACTAAGCTATCCCACTGTTAAAAAGGATGCAGGACATCTATATATGTGCATGAACATATATAGGATATATATAGAGATAGATGTCCTGGATGCACAATCAAGTGGGAAAAGCTAACTGTAGAAGAATAGAGTATGCTCTTATTTTTACTAAAATAAGTAACAGGGAATTCCCTGGCAGTCCAGCGGTTAAGACTCGGGCTGTCTTAACCCCGACACTGCTGTGGACCCAGGTTCAATCCCTGGTCAGGGAACTAAGATCCCACAAGCCGTCTGGTGCAGCCAAAAACAAACAAAAAATAAAATAAGTAACAATCTATATCTGTTTGTTTAATGCCTACAGAGAAAAATCCCAATTTCTAGAGGGTGAAATATGAGAGGGCTTTCACCTTCTACATTATCTATTTGATTACTTCATTCATTCAATAAACACTAGTTGAAGTCCACTGTTTACGTGTCAAGAACTGGGATACATTGAACTAAACAGCCTTTCCCCTTATGTACCTTACATGCTAGGGGATGCTTGACATTTTAGAGAGACAGCCTGTGTTATTTCTGAAATCAGGGGGGAAAAAGATGTAAAAAATTAACACTAAAATAGAAACCCATCATAATGATAACTTTTCCATGTTACCACCCTCCAAATGAGACAATTAGAAATAGGTCACTTAAAAGAATCTGTTCTAAACTTAATAAAGGGCTATTTTATCCATTAGTTCACTTAATTCTCTGAGGTGATTACTCTCTGTCAATTTAGCAGATGAATATACTAAGGCTCCAAGGTGTTAAAAGCCTTGCTGAAGGTTGCAGGGCCAGTAAGTGGAAGTACCGGGGCTTACGTCCAGGTGACTTCATATCCACCACACTTTCCCCTCCATCAAGCCTGCGCCAGGAACAGATGTGAGGTTTCAGGAGCTGGGACTCACACTTGCCCCTATAAAGACAGGCTGAGTGTGGCCCCACCCAGGTACCTGCTGCAGGTGGCTCCTAATGTCCGAGGCACAGAGCTGGAGCACGTGTAAGTAGGAGACCTCGGTGTCGATGAGTTCCCTGACGGCCAGACTCTGATGCAGCAAGGATCTCTCCTCAGGGACCCGACCTTCCTCGTCTGGACTCCCTGTCCTAGAGGACAGCTCATCATCCCCATGATCAGTCATGTCAGCAGGTTCTGGGAAAGACAAACACATCCGGACTCACTTCTGGGAGCTCTATTGGGACATGCTGTCTCTAATCCAAAGACAACTGTTCATCAGATGGCCTAAAAACATCTTTAGCTGCCTACAGAGTCAAGATGAACTGCGTATAAGCATTTGTGGGCAGTATCTGAACAAGTTTAAAAGGTAGAACGCAGCTCAGATAATTGTTGACATTTTAAATTCATTTCCCAGGATTCAGACAATGTGCTTGCCTGGCTTTTCTTCTATTTTCCCCCCAGCTCTTGACCTAGATTTCTTTATCTGGTTCAGCTGAGTCTCTCTCGCCCTCCTTCTCTACCCACTACTACCCCATTCAGGCCATACTACCTATCGCCTGGACTATTTCCACCACCTCCAGGATCATTTTTTCAAATCCACACCCCTCTCCCACCTGCTGCCACCCACATCCATTCATCCTGGATATGCTTCCAGTTTAAACTTCCTGAAACAAAGCTTGTGATCCTGGTATTCTCTGCTGTGAGACTGTAATAGCCATCTGCTGCTCTGTGGTCTACCTCTGACTTCGTTTTCCTCTTCCCTGACACACTCCAGTGAAAGAAAGTTATGTGCTTTTCTCCATACCTGCATGGTCATTTCCTGCCTCCATGCTTTTGCACCTGCTGTGACCCCTCCAATGTCCCTATGCTCTGACATTCATCTCTAAGGCCTTTGCTGATCCTCCCAGCCAGATATACTTTTCTCCTTTATCTCTAAGTTTAAAAAGTACAAATGGCAATACTGTGGACAAAAAAAATCTCCCTACTACAGAACACCTAGAAATGCTAGATCAGCTATAACAAACTTCCTTTTCACTGCATGGCAAGGCTTGCAAGAAAGTAAAGGAGGGAATTCCCTGGTGGCACAGTGGTTAAGAATCCGCCTGCCAATGCAGGGGACGTGGGTTCGAGCCCTGATCCGGGAAGATCCCACATGCCGCGGAGCAACTAAGCCTGTGCGTCACAACTACTGAGTCTGTGCTCTAGAGCACATGAGCCACAACTACTGAAGCCCACGCACCTAGAGCCTGTGCTCCGCAACAAGAGAAGCCACCACAATGAGAAGACTGCACTGCAACGAAGAGTAGCCCCCGCTCGCCGCAACTAGAGAAAGACTGCACGCAGCAACGAAGACCCAAAGCAGCCAAAAATAAATAAATTAAAAAAAAAAAAAAAAAGACAGTAAAGGAAATCAGCAGGGATCCCCAAACAGGGAGCTGAAAACCAGATCAGGAGCAGCTAAGCTGATGCAGCTGTAGCCAAAGTGGACAGGATGGGCATGGAAGAGGGCACTGCCCAGCTCTGTGATCCAGAGACTTGGGCATCAGTGCCCAGGCAGAATCAGGAAGCAAGCTTCTCTCCAGAACTGGGATCCCTCAAGCACGCCAGTGAAATGGTGGATTAGAAAAAAAAGTCTCCCTACCCACACAGAAGATGACAAAGATGTTGCTGCATCTTGGCTTGGGTCCTGAGTAAAGGAAAAAGTCCTTTCTGAAAATTCATAACAACAGGCCTGCTTTCACTGGGTTGTAGGTTCAGATGTATACTACACATGTGGTCCAAGGAGCTCAATGCTGATAAATAAACAAAAAAACAAGTCCTGGAATAGTGCTACTATGAGTACCCACAGAAAAAATAAAATGTCTCCAGGAGGACACATCCTTAACCTAGGCCACATGGTACTCCAAGAGATAACCCTGTCCTGAAGATGAGCTTAAAATCCAAAATTACAAGAACTCCAGTGTAAGTGCACATCATCAGAGACAACAAAGAGCAGGATTAGACCCAAGAACATCAGATAATCAAACTATCAAATAGAAACTATAAAATAAGCAGGAAAAGAAAAGATGTACAAAAAATAAAGACCGGTATGATTTTTTTTTTGAATTTTACTTGGTTTGCTTTACTTCTTTTTTTTTTTTATTAATTAATTAATTAATTAATTTAATTTTGGCTGTGTTGGGTCTTCGTTTCTGTGTGTGGGCTTTCTCTAGTTGTGGCAAGCAGGGGCCACTCTTCATCGCGGTGCATGGGCCTCTCACTGTCGCGGCCTCTCTTGTTGTGGAGCACAAGCTCCAGATGCGCAGGCTCAATAGTTGTGGCTCACGGGCCTAGCTGCTCCGTGGCATGTGGGATCTTCCCAGACCAGGGCTCGAACCTGTGTCCCCTGCATTGGCAGGCAGATTCTCAACCACTGCGCCACAAGGGAAGCCCCGGTATGATTTTTTAAAGCAACAAGCAGGGCTTCCCTGGTGGTGCAGTGGTTGAGAGTCCACCTGCCAACACAGGGGACACGGGTTTGTGCCCCGGTCCGGGAAAATGCCACATGCCGTGGAGCAGCTGGGCCCGTGACCCATGGCCGCTGAGCCTGCGTGTCCGGAGCCTGTGCTCCGCAACGGGAGAGGCCACAACAGTGACAGGCCTGTGTACCGCAAAAAAAACAAAACAAAACAAAGAAAACGCACCAAGCAGAACTTACAGAAATTAAAAATTTAGTCTTTGACATTAAAAACTAAATGGACAGTTTAAACACTCAGGAAAGAGAAATAGTAAAGGGGCAGATAGATCCAAAGAAATTATCCAGACTGCTAAAAAGAAAGAGAAAATCAATGGAAAATATGAAAGAGAATTAAGGGATCTGGATATTGAAATAAGAAGATCATGTACCAAATCTGTGTTCCAGAAGACAAGAATAAACAGAGTGAGAAGAGGCAATATATGAAGAGATGAGACTCATAATTGTCCAGAATTTATAAAAGATATGAATTCTTAGGTCTAGGAAGTACAAGTCCTAAGCAGGATAAGTTAAAAAAAAAAAAATCACATCTAAACACACTGAGAGGAAATTTCAGAACCTTGAAGTCCTGGAGAATTTACCTTATAGTTTCCTTGTCAGGAAACTATGTTCCACCAAAATAAAGAAAGAAATCACGATACAAGATACAGGGAACTGGTGATCTAATATGTGAGAGAGGCTGAGGAAATCCCTAGGATAGGTGAAACGAAATTCTGAGTTTGACTGTTGGTGACAGACAGACAGCAAACAATCTGCGCTAGAGTATTAGAATGTCTTGAGAACAAATTTATTAAATCAGTAGAGAATATGGTCCTTATGTAGGCATAATTACACAGACGGGGACTTCCCTGGTGGTCCAGTGGGTAAGACTCCGCACTCCCAAGGCAGGGGGCCTGGGTTCGATCCCTGGTCGGGAACTAGATCCCGCATACATGCTGTAACTGAGAGTCCGCATGCTGCAACTAGGAAGTCAGCATGCTGCAACTAAGAAGCCTGCATGCTGCAACTAAAGATCCTGCATGCCACAACTAAGACCCAGCACAGCCTAAATAAATAAACATTTTTTTTAAAAAAAATTACACAGATAAGACATACGCAACTAAGAAACCAACAAATAAAAACAATTGTTATGGGCTTCCCTGGTGGCACAGTGGTTGAGAGCCCGCCTGCTGATGCAGGGCACACGAGTTTGTGCCCTGGTCTGGGAAGATCCCACATGCCGTGGAGCGGCTGGGCCCGTGAGCCATGGCCGCTGAGCCTGCGCGTCCGGAGGCTGTGCTCCGCAACGGGAGAGGCCACAACAGTGAGAGGCCCTCATACCGCAAAAAACAAACAATTGTTATAACAATTTTTATTAAAAAAATTGTGCAGAAAAGATAAAATTATGTGTCACTACCCGATTCAGTTATAAATAGAATCCACACAAGTAATAATACAAGTGATCTAATTCATATTATGTACCGAGAGGACAGGGTGATGGAGAGGGAGAAAAAATGAACTAAAGCCTCATCATCCATAATGGAAATTAAAGAACAATGTCTAAATCGAAAGCTCAAGAAAGAGCAGTATATATGTGTTATAAAACAATCAGCTGAAAAAAACAGAAGGAATTGCCTGGTAGTGGCTGGAGCAGGAAAGAGAAGAGGACAGGCTGCTTTTCATAACAAACGTTGCAGAATCACCTGTCTCTCTTTCTCATCACAAATGTAGAACTATCCATCTCTTTAAATTACAGCTTTGAAGTGAACTAAAAACTAAATGTAAGAAAAAGTGAGAATTCCTCAATTTTGCTGGAGATCAATATTCAAAAATAAATCATATTCCTGTGTATACCAACAACAATTTTTAAGAGTGCAATTTAAGGAAAAATAGCAGCATAATAATAAAAAGATTTAATAATAACACATAATATTTATTCCTTCCTAAATATCTTAATTTAACAAAAGATGAGGAGTTCCCTGGTGGCCTAGTCGTTAGGATTCCAGGCTTTCACTGCCGTGGCCCAAGTTCAATCCCTAGTTGGGGAACTGAGGTCTCACAAGCTATGCATTCAAAAAAAAAAAAAAGATGTACAAGATCTTTATGAAGAAAATTATAAACACTTATCTAAATATATTTAAGAACTAGCTGGGAATTCCCTGGCAGTCCAGTGGTTAGGACTCTGAGCTTCCACTGCAGGGGGCCCAGGTCTGATCCCTGGTCAGGAACTAAGATCCCACAAGCCACACGGCACAGCCTGAAAAAATTAAAACAAAAACAAAACCACAAAAAAGAACTAGTTACAAGTAGAGATATACTATGTTCATGGATAGGAAAAGTTAATATCATAAAGATGAAAATTGACCCAAACTGATTCAATACAATTTCAATAAAACTCCCAATAGGGTTTGGGGGTTTGGGGTTTTTTTTAGTAGAACATAATACAATGATTCTAAAATATATATGGACAAAAAGGCTCAGAATGACTAAGGCAATTCTGAAGAACAAGGTGGGGGGGCCTGTCCTACCAGATATCTAGATACATTTGAAAGTCATAATAATTTTAAAGTATTATATTGACACAGGGGCAAACAGATCAGTAGAACAGATTAGAGAGCCCAGAAGCAGACCACAGTAAATATGGAAACTTGATATATGACGTAAGTGTCATTATAAGTCACTGGGAAAAGGATGGTCCATG